TTTTTTTTTTTTCATTGGACATTACAGACTATGAATTTATTATTATTGGGTGTTAGGTTTTGTTATATTCCTTTGAAGAGTGTTTATTGTATTTTGTTTTTTTGCTGGCATGCAGCTAAGTTACTTAGATTACTCTGACCCTTTTGAGGTGTGTTTTTAAGCTCTTTTAGAATGAGTTTAAAGTAGCTTTTACTATAGAAGTAATTTAGCCCCACTCCTAAAGCATGGCCGTTTTGAATTCTCTTCTGGATACCATGCAGACTCAAGGGAGGCCTCTCTTCTTGCTGGAGGGACGTCAAATGATTCTAGACCCTTTTTGAACAATAGGAATTATCTATTTTACAGTATACCCTGTTAATAGTTCTGTCTTCATATTGTTATTTAGCCAAAGTTCAGGGAAATTCTATGCAGGTTTCTTGTGCTTTGTCTTTAGCTCCTTCCTCTTTTGTACTGTGTCCTGCAAATTCTAGCTGCTTTGGCCTTCCTGAACTCCAGTTGAGGCCTTCTCACCTCAAGTTGCTGAACTTGCTGAACTCTGATTTGGGGCTCCTGTCTCTGTCACAGTTTAGGAGTTACTTCTAGGTAGAAAGCCTAGGTCATGATAGGGCTCATCTTGTCTCTTTTCTCATGGATCACAGTTCTTTGCTCCCTGTTGTCTGAAAATAGTTGCTTCTTGTATTGTGTTCGATTTTCTTTTTCTTTTTTTAAAGATTTTATTTATTTATTTATTTATTTTAGAGAGGGAAGGGAGGGAGAAAGTGAGAGAGAGAGAAACATCAATGTGCGGTTGCTGGGGGCCGTGGCCTGCAACTCAGGCATGTGCCCTGACTGGGAATCGAACCTGCGACACTTAGGTTCACAGTCTGCACTCAATCCACTGAGCTACGCCAGCCAGGGCGTGTCCAATTTTCTAGTTGTTTACAGTGAGAGGTTAATTACCAACCACCCAGAAGTTCCCAGATTGCCCTATAAAAGCAGAATATTTTTATTTTTGGGTAATTCAAGTAAAACTTGATTGTAAATATTGTTGGCTTTTGCCCTGGCTGGTATGACTCTGGATTGACCACCAGCCTGCAAATCAAAAGGCTGCCAGTTCGATTCTTAATCAGGGCACATGCTCGGATTGTGAGCCAGGTCCCCAGCTGGGGGCTTGCAGGAGGCAGCTGGTTGATGTTTCTTCTCCTTTCTTCCTCCCTCCCTCCCTTCCCCTCTTTCTAAAATCAAATAAAAATTTTAAAAAATTCTTGGCTTTAAAGTAATACCAATAGAACTCTACTTCATATTGTATAGAAAAATCAATTTCAGATGGATTAAAGACTTAAGTGGCAAAAATTTAAAACCTCTTAGTAAAAAGTATGGGTGAATACCTCTTAGATTCTGGGGATAGCAAAATTAAGACACAGAAGGCGTTGCTCATAAAAATATTGACAAATTGGACTCTTGAAATTGAGGTACTCTAAAGTGAGAAGACAATTATACCCTAGGAAGAGGTATTCACAATACACACAAATGAAAAAATTACATTGAGAACATATGAAGAGCTCTACAATCGATGAACAAAGCACAAAAACTCAATATAACAGTAGGCAAAACATATGAATAGGTTTTTTACAGAAGAGGCACATGGACAATAGATACATGATGTAATAATCAACATCAGTAGTAATTAAGGAAATGTAAATTAGGACCACAGTGAGAAATTTTTTTATACCCATTTCACTGACAAAAATTAAGAGGATCTTTTTAATATTACTTAAAGGAATATAAACTGATACAACTACTTTAGACTACAGTTAGCATTATCTTCTTAGACTAAATATTGTGGAGTTCCAGTCTTAGGTATATAGCTAGGAGAATCTCTTACACATGTACATCAGGATGCTTGTATGCAAATGCCCAGAAGACTTAAAACACAGAAACAACCCAAATGCCTGTCAGTGGAAGAACAGATTTTTAGGAAGCAAAACAATAAAGTGTTATATATCACAGAATAAACCACAAAGATATATGACATTGTGGATGAGACTAATGAAAAAAATAAGTCCCAAGTGGTCTCATTCTGCATGTACCCTATTTATAAAACTAAACTACCTTTTAAAATTAAAATAAAAAATAAAAACTTACTTTTTTCTAATTACTTTTGCATTGTATATAAGGAGATTCCCTTCTGTGGTTTCAGTGGTACAATTGCTATAGGTTGGTTACTAGAGGTTTGAGAAAATGAGAACATTATAATATTCAGAATCTACATATGGGAGATTACCATTTAAAAGCCTTAAGAAATCTGTAGGTGCAGGTTAAGAAACCGACAGCAAAACAAGATATCTGACATCTAGGATTTCATTTTTTTGTGAAGCTCAGATATTACTAGAATTGCTCTCCCTACAGTGATTTGTGCTCATAGCAAGGATGTATATTACTGTCTTCTGGCCTTCGTTCTATAAAACTAAGTTGTGAGGATAGAGAAATGTCATGGAATGGGTTTTTAACATTTACATATTGAGAAATTTTGAAGTTATTTCAAAGATGAATTTTGCAAATTTGACTTGCAGAATACAGAGGCAAAATTTAGATCACTGATCAGGTAAGTTTTATACTTACCCGTAATTAATCCCATTTCTCTTATTGGGGTTTAACTAAGCAAAGAGTATGTCAAAGCAGCTGAAACTTGCTACCCTCAAACAGCTGGCTTCGCAGTCTGAACATTCCAACTTGAAGTTTTATAGGATATGGTCATTTAGAGAAGAGAATGGCCAGTGATCCTTAAATTCAATGTACTTTTGTAAGCTAGACTAAATTTATCTAATTCCATGTATAAACAAACCAGTCTGAGGATTTAAATTAAGATGGAAATATTCCAGAACCACTGCCTGCCTGTGTATATCTTTAGTTCCTATTTGATTATGTTCCCCTTCAAGTTCAGAGAATGTATTTTTGATAGACATTCTCATTTATAATGAGACTGTATTTCTCATGGACCATGTATATTCATGATTTTTAGGCAGAGGACCTCAGCGGGGACTGAGTGAATCAGTTTTTTTTTTTCCTTTTCCTTTTTTTCCAAATGAGCATGTCCAAACCAAGGATATGAATACTAATAGATTTTGGTTAATTTTAAGGACAAATGAAGAACAAAGCAGTCTCTGTTATGATCTCCTTTTGTATGTTTCTCATTTGCTAAGTACAGTTAATTAAAAAATGGTTTGAGTCTTGTGGAAGCCATTTCTACCTGCACTAAAGTATTACTGAACTTTCAAGCAGGCATCCTATTTATATTTGTTTCCTTTGACTTCAAATTTAAATGGGGGGTGGGATAAGAGGCTCTTTGATGTTACTCTTTTCACCTTATGAAGAAACTGTAAGTTGAATCAATTTTTAGAGCTTCTTATTGAAATTGTCACAAAGGCCTCTCACGTTGTAGAGTTCTTTCTATTATGAACTGTTTTACTGGACTTGAGATTACTCAAGTGATTACCATTGAGGAAATGCACCCTGTGCATTATCAAAGACCTACTGTACTTTATGTTGGAAAAAGACATTGGAGAGTATCTTTGAACCAGTAGTTTCATCAGCTAGTCTTACCTACCTCCCTTCCTTGTGTGAGGCACTCAGGCTGATTTTATAACACCAGTAGGGTTGTGGACTTGCTTTTTAAGCAAAGGAATGGTGATGTTATTGAGAAATTTGGAAAGTTTAGTTTGAGAACTAAGTATACAAGATCAGATTGACTTAATGAGACTTTTTGAGATTACCTGCCTTTAGGAGAGAGCAGTGATGTCAATATTTGGTGATATGTGTCATCCATTACAATGAGTTACAAATTTTCATGATAATCATAGGAAGAAAACTCATTGATCAGGATCATACACATCTCTGGAGCCTGTTTGATAGTCTAAGGCTTTGCTTTTAATTGGGGGAGGAATTAGAGGAGGAGAGTTGTGAGAGAGGAGATTTGAATGAGTAAATTATTTTATTTTTGCATTTAATTCATACCTCCTAAGTCACAGAAGCATATAAAGTTCTTGAACTTGAAGCAAAGGCTTTGGTATATATGTTCTCAGTGATTAACTCTTGATTATATAAATAGATGACCTGTTTTTGAATACATTTAAAACTCTGAATGATTTTTGCTAAACCCATCTCTGCATTATTTGATATGTTCTGAGAATACAAAGTAACTTGGATTATTTGATGTTTTTCAGTTATGCATTCCACCTCTTTTCTTTATAAGGCCACATACTCAGTTGCACATGCACATACTCATTTCTTCATCAGATATTTGCTGAGTGCTTACTATGTGCCAGGTCCTGTTCTAGAAGCTTGGCATGCCCCTGTCAACAATAGATAAGCATTTTTACCTATCTCTTCATGACAATGGTAACTTTATTGTTATGAGGAGGTTCTTCTAGTACATTTATTCTTTAATTTCTTGTTAACCCTGTTTTATTGATGGAAGGGAGAAGAGCAAAACTAGGGTGACCTAACTTCAGGAAAGGAGTTTTTACAAAAATCCATCTGATAACAAAAACCACTATTGCTTATATCATCTGCAGATATTTTCTTTGGAAGTTTGGACTACACACAAATATCAATGACATTGCTTTAAAATTAACCCTAGCTTTTTATATCTCTCCAAATTTGTGTGCTTGTTCATTCCCTATATTCACCACATTGGCTTTGAATGACTTTTAGCTTTCTGAAAATAAAATCTACCTTTAAAAGCTGATAATTGCCTTTGAAGATATTTAAAACTGTATGTTGGAGGTAATTTTAATAGCAAAAATAAGATTGTGGTCTCTTTTAAGGGAGTAGCCCTCTTTTGTGTAATTGCTGGCATGTCTATTAAAAATAAGTCTTAATTTTACAGTAACCTTGAACATATTCTCTATTAGGGGTATAGCAGCATATACCTCACAAATATCAATCTGAATCTGACTTTTGATGATTTTGTGATTTAATTTGTAGTAAATAGGCGTTTTTTTGTTCTTTGCCCTCACCAGGTATACAATGTTTACATGGCAGGGAGGCAGCTGTGTTCTAAGCGGTACCGGGAGTTTGCCATCCTACACCAGAACCTGAAGAGAGAGTTTGCCAACTTTACATTTCCCCGACTTCCAGGGAAGTGGCCATTCTCTTTATCAGAACAGCAATTAGATGCCCGGCGGCGAGGGTTGGAAGAATATCTAGAAAAAGGTAAACCGGCCTATTGTATTGTCTTGAGTAGACATAGGGTCTAGGTTTATGTTGCAACTCTTAAACTGCATAGCAAAGTTTCCTGAAATGCAGTAGTGAAAGTAAGTCAGATTTCTGACCATAGGTGTTGAGTGATCTGAGCTTTGAAGCCAGGACTGAAATGTCTAGTACAGTGATTAATAGCCTATTGTCTTGACTCACTGACACATAACAACTATAGAAAAATGATCATTAGTTTTTGATCTATTAAGGACCTTTATTTATAGGGTTATATTATTTTCCAGCAAACACATTATTACAGACTGACTCATCAACATGCTGAACTGATTTGGGAAATAAGTGATTCACCGTCATATCCTACTTGAAAATTCCTTATTCCTTTTGCATGTTTCCATAGATTGGTTTATTGAGTTGTAGGTAATCTAAAGTCTCCTTGTTCTATGCAGGTTATAGGTAGAAGTATTTGAACTTACATGTTATTTCAGGACTTCCAAACAATACATAAGGAATCTGTGGATATGGATGCTGAAACATTTGTTTATCTAGACAGTTGGGTGAAATAACAGAATCTTTTAAATAAGATAGTTCATTTTGTAGCTCAGAGAAGAGACCTTGTCCCACTACATTATCGAGTTAACATGCTTTGCTATCTGTGCAGTTGGCTTTTCTTTAAAATACTAATTTAATAGAATGATGGTCTTATGTGGTATATAATAATTCTGTGTCCTTATGTAAGAACTAATTGACCTAGTTGAATTTTTTTTAACTTTGGTAGAGATTTTTATCCCTGAAGAAAAATTACTTCTCCCATAGAAATAGTGAGACTTCCCCATTTGTTTTTAGCTTTTTTCTAACCTGGAATGAATTCTAAACATAGCCCTTGGGAAATAAGAAATGTTATATATTTTTAAAATAAAATGATGTAAAATCATCAGTGTAATTTGTCATCCTCATGAGAGTATCAGGAAATTAACTTTCTTAGATTTAAACAATTAACTACCTGTTTGCCTGCTTTCCTTGTTCCTTCCCTCCTTTCTTTTTGTTGTTGTTGTTTTGCAGTTCAGATTGATGAGGTGAGGAAATCTGCTCCGCTTAATACTTAAATTACCTACCCATTTACCCTCAAGTGGCATTAAATGTTTATAGTTCGGTGCATCCGGTCAAGATAGAGGCATAGGTAAACATGGCTCACCTCCTCCCAAAACGACATAGTTGTAATCAAAATTACAACTAAAATGTAAAACCACCACCACCCAGAACCATCAGAAATCGAGTTGAATGGAAGTCAGACAGCTACGAAATTAAGGAAACCACATCCATTCAGACTGGTAGGAGGGGCGGGGAGGCAGAATGGGCTGGTTCCACATCCACGTGGATAAAAATTTGGGATGGTATCCCAGGAGCAAGGAGTTGCAACCCACACCAGGCCCCCCAGTCCAGAGTTCCAGCTCCAGGAAAAAAAGTCTCCACAACTTCTGGCTGCAAAAAAATAGCGCGGAGGGAATTGGTAGAAGAAAGTTCTGGAGTCCCAAGAAGTTCCCCTTAAAGTACCCATACATAGACTTACTCATACTCACTCCTCTGAGCTACAGCACCAGAGTAGCAGCATGAGAGGCACCAGCAGCATACAGGGAGGAACTGAAGTGTCTGGCCTCAAGGAGAAGCTGGGGGACAGCTTTGGCCCAGACAGAAAGGTGGTCAGAGGCCACTGTCCCTTTTCTGAGTCCTTCCCCCACAGAGCCACAGAGCCAGCAGTTGGGTGCCATATCTGAGACTCCATCAACCTGGCTAACATTGTTTGCCCAACCCTAGAGATTCCCTGATACTCCATCTCACCCAATTTATGGGCCTAAACAGTTAACCATGACTTTTCCATATGAATGGTTGGTCTTGGCTCATGTTTCACAATTTGCTATCTTGTCAAACAAGCAACATCCGGAGTCAGTAAACCCCCAGGCCCTATACCTCTTGCTAAGTGGCCCCAGGCCTGTTATTAAGAGCAGCCAGCCTAGATGCACAGCTCAGCCTCACCTGGAAATATCCAGCTCAGGACAAGTAGCAGCCATCTCAGATTGCTTTATAGCTCATGCAGGGTGGCCCTGGGGAGAACATGAGTGGGGGCTGAGCTTGGCCTACACCACGCGGGTAACTCCAGATCCTGCCCATCCAGTAGACAGCTACAGATCACATTGGAGCACCACCACCGTACTCCTGTACAGCTGATCTTTCACAGACAGCAGAGGTTGGTGTTTAGTGGTCACAGCCAATCCTCACTCACAGCTGACTGGCCTGAGTAGATCCCTCCCATTGACCTGCCAATAGCAGTCAAGGCTCAACTATGAGAGGAGGGTGTACTCAAGCCCACACAAAAGTGCACACCTTGAGGATGCACCTTAGGTGATAGGAGAAGCTGTGCTACTGCATCCTACAGGACACCTACTACATTAGGCCACACTACCAAAGCAGGGAGTCATAGCAGCTCTACCTAATACTCAGAAACAAACACAGAAAGGCAGCCACAATGAGGAGACAAACAAACATGGCACAAATGAAAGAACAGATCAGAACTCCAGAAAAAGAACTAAACAAAATGGAAATGAGCAATCCATCAGATTCTATTAATTGCAGAGTTCAAAACAGTGGTTATAAGGATGCTCAAGGAACTTAGTGAGGACCTCAACAGCATAAAAAATTCCAATCCGGAACAAAGATACACTAATTGAAATAAAATACAATATACAGAGAAACAAGAATAGAATGGATGAAGCTGGGAATCAAATCAATGATTTGGAACATAGGCAAAAACAACCAATCAAAACAACAAGAAGGAAAAAGAATCCAAAATAAATGAGGATAGTGTAAGCAGCCTCTGGGACAACTTCAAGCATTCCAACATTTGTATCATAGGGGTACCAGAAGGCAAAAAGAAAGAGCAAGAAATTGGAACTCTATTTGAAAAAATAATGAAAGAAAAATTCCCTAACTTGGTAAAGGAAACAGACATGTTAAGTCCAGTAAGCACAGAGATTCCCAAACAAGATGGATGCAAACAGGCCCACTCTAAGACACATCATAATTAAAATGCCAGAGATTAAAGATAAAGAGAGAATCTTAAAGCAGCAAGAGAAAAGCAGTTAGTTACCTACAGGGGAGTTCCCATAAGACTGTCAGCTGATTTCTGAAAAGAAACTTCGCAGGCTAGAAGGGATTGGCAGGAAATATTCCAAGTCATGAAAAGCGGGGACCTACAGCCAAGATTGTTCTACCCAGCAGAGCTACCATTTAGAATGGAAGGGCAGATAAAGAACTTCCCAGAGAAGGAAAAACTAAGGGAGTTCATCATCACCAAACCATTATTATATGAAATGTTAAAGGGACTTATGTAAGAAAAAGATCAAAACTATGAACAATAAAGTGGCAGTAAATACATATCTCTCAATAATTGAATCTAAAAAAATAAACAAACAAGAACAGAGACAGAATCATGGATAAAGAGAGCATTTTGATGGTTGCTGGATGGGAGGGGTGTGGGAGAATGGGTAGAAGAGGTGAGGGGATTAAGAAGTACAAATAGGTAGTTACAGAAGAACCATGGGGATGTAAAGTACAGTGTAGGAAATGGAGGACCCAGAGAACTTATATGTATGACCCATGGACATGAACAATAGTGAGGATTGCCTGAGGTAGTAGGGAGTACAGGGTGGAAGGGGGAGCAAAGGGAGAAAAAAATGGGACAACTGTAATAGCATAATTAAAAAATATAATTTAAAAAATACACAAATCTGGAATGAAATCTGGAAAGATGCAGAATAGTAGTAGTTATTTGAGTATGACCAAATTAATTTTTTCCTTGTTAATGTTTTGCTGTATTTTGCAGATAGTCTACAATAAACTCTTATTACTTTGATAAAAAAATGTTTATGGTCTGGCTAGCCTGTTTCTAGGCCAAGTAGATATTTTTCCTCTTGTATTTCAGTTTTGTGTTTGGTTTATTTCTAATTGACCTTACCCATGCTCTGTTGTATGGCTTGTTAATAGTTTGCACAAGACGACAAAGTTTTACTGAATTTTTATTCCTCCTTTTTTGGGTGACTTCCTTTGGCTATATTTAATATTTTCTGCAAGCTATATATTTTATACATTCTGTTATTCCTCCATTTTAGTTTATATTTATAGGAATATTTGTCATGTCTTAAAATATCATATGTTAGGTATGACATACTACCTCAGCATTGCCTGGTACTAATGATTTACTCTTAAACTTTGATATGTACTTGACATTATATACTTGTTTTTAGAGCTTCATGCCAGATTCTATTTTTGTTTTGTATAGTATGCTCAATACGAGTCATTGGTGAGAGTGACATCATGCAAGAATTCCTGTCGGAATCAGACGAGGTAAGTGACTACCCCTACAGTGACCTCTTGGCTCATTCTGGTGGAGAATAAATTAAAGATATCAATTATAGCAAATGTCTTTTTTCAACTTCCTTTTTTATATGTCTTGCTTATCCCTCAAGACCTAGTGCTTTGTCCACCTTCTCTTTGAAGCCTTCCCTGTTATTAAAGTCATTGATATTTCATTCCACCAAGAACTTTTGCAGTCAGTACCATTTGGTTATCACCTTGCTGCTATCTCATTCTCTGATGTTTATACATATTACCAGATTATTACTTTATAGTTTTAGTTTGAGCTACCTGTAGGTAAGAGCTAAATAATTTTTTAACTTTATTGAGGTATAATTGACAGTTAGGAATTGTATATATTTGAGGTGTACAACTTAATATTTTGATATATGTGTACATTATGGTGATCACCACAATCAAGCTAATTAACATATTTATCGTGTGGTTACCCCTCCTTTTCCTTTCCTTTTCCTTCCTTCTTTCCTTCCTTTCCTTTTCCTTCTTTCCTTTCTTCCTTCCTTCTGTACAGTAACACTTAAGATCTACCCTTTTTTCAGTATACAGTATAGTATCATTAACTGTGGTCAGCATGCTGTGCATGAGATCTCCAGAACAAGAGCTAAGTCTTGATCATCTTTATATTCCCAGTGCCTTATCACAATGTCAGGGGTATTGTAGGTGCTTAATAAACTAATAAATATTACCAGATAGAAAAATGAATATGTGATGCTTCTATACTAGTGTGTTATCCACAGATTATTTTGTATGAATATGACTTCTCACAACTAGATTATAACTTGATTGTAGACAAGGGCCTTAACAAAATAATGCTTAGTGTGGTTTTAGGAAAAGAATAGTATTTTTTAATGGTAAATGTTGATGGACCTGTTCTTAAATAACTGTTCGTCTCTAATAAAAATTACAAAGTCAAAAAATCTGTTAAAGGAATGTGCTAATCATCAAAAGCAATGAAAAAGGATTTCTTTTGAATTGAGGAGGATAAAAATTGTTTACTCTTTGCTAGAAAAAATTGGGCATCAGACTAACTCTTATTCGTAAGTATCATCCATTTTCCTTTCAAAGGTGTCATGATTATCTCAGGAATCAGAAAGGAATCTAGGATACCACCTGAGCCAATCTAACATGCCTAACCATAACATGAACTCAGTGGATATTGGTTGAAACTAGTCTTTTCACTTGTCTTTTCTTATTTGTGAGTTCTTAATGTTTGAAAATAGGCCAAAAATCTCATCTGTGTTTGATCTAGACTGTTTCACACATTTCCCCTTTTAAAATGTGAACATTTTGACTTTGATATATTTCTTTCCTCCTTGTTCAAAAGATTAACTTCTGTTGTACCCTAAAGTCAGCTTAATGACTTGTAAATGTATTAACTTATAAGGTATCTTTTCTCCCATTTTCATTAGAATTCACTTTCTTTCTATCCCATCTTTAGGTTGTTGTTTAGCTAGTCTGTTACTAGGAGAATGAAGAATACTGAGTCATAAATCTTTCTCTGTGTCTTTTCTCCCTAGAACTACAATGGTGTGTCTGACGTAGAGCTCAGAGTAGCTTTACCAGATGGAACAACAGTTACAGTCAGGGTTAAAAAGAACAGTACTACAGACCAAGTATATCAGGTAAGGTAAACTTGAACAAGTAGACTCTACATTGCATGGTTCAAAGCTAAGGAGGATAGATTAAATGAGTTATACATAAAAAGTGCTTGGAGTATCTGGCACAGAAGTTTATTAAATGTTAACTACTATTGTTGATGTTATTATTGTTAATGTAAAATTACTTTGTCCTCCTTTAAAGAAGATACAATATATATCCTAGGTGGTAGTGGTTCTTTTCTTTTTTTTGAAGTATTTTTTATTGATTATGCTATTAGTTTTCCCAATTTTTCCCCTTTATCTGCCCTCCGCCCTGCTCCCCAACATTCCCCCCACTTAGTTCATGTCCATGGGATGTAAATATAAGTTCTTTGAGTTCTCTGTTTCCTATACCATTTTTTATCTCTCCCTGTCTATTTTATGCCTACTAATTATGCTTCTTCTTCCCTGTACCTTCCTCCTCACCACTGAAACCCCTCTATGTGGTTTCCATTTCTCTGATTCTGTTCCTGTTCTAAATGTTTGCTTAGTTTTTGTTTTATTTTTTGTTGGTTTTCTTTTAGGTTCATTTGTTGATAGTTGTGAGTTTGTTGTTATTTTATTGTTTAGATTTTTTATCTTTTTCTTAATTGACTCCCTTTAACATTTCATATAATAATGGCTTGGTGAAGATAAACTCCTTTAACTTGACCTTATCTAGAAAGCACTTTATCTCCCCTTCCATCCTAAATGAAAGCTTTGCTTGATACAGTATTCTTGGATGTAGGTCCTTGCCTTTCATGACTTCAGATACTTCTTCCCAGCCCCTTCTTGCCTGCAAGGTTTCTTTTGAGAAATCAGCTGATAGCCTTATGGGAACTCCTTATAGGTAGCCATCTCCTTTTCTCTTGCTGCTTTTAAGATTCTCTCCTTATCTTTAATCTTGTGTAATGTAATTATGATGTGCCTTGGTGTGTTCCTCCTTGGGTCCAACTTCTCTGGGACTCTCTGAGCTTCCCGGACTTCCTGGAAGTCTCTTTCCTTTATCAGATTGGGAAAGTTCTCCTTCATTATGTTTTCAAATAAGTTTTCAATTTCTTGCTGTTGTTCTCCTTCTGGCACCTCTATAATTCAGATATTGGAACGTTTCAGGTTGTCCCAGAGGTTTGTAAGACTCTCTTCACTTTTTTGAATTCTTGTTTCTTCATTCTGTTCCATTTGGATGTTTATTTTTCCCTTCTGTTCAAAATTCTTGCTTTGAGTCCTGGTTTCCTTCCTGTCACTGTTGGTTCTCTGAATATTTTGCTTTATTTCATTTTGGGTATCTTTCATTTGTTTCTTCATTTTTCGACCAAGCTCAATCAGTTCTGTGAGCATTTTGATTACCAGGGCTTTAAATTCTCTATCAAATAGGTTGGCTATCCCCTCATCATTTAGCTCTGTATCTGAAGTTTTGCTTTGTTCTTTAATTTGGGTCATATTTCTTTGTCCTGGTGCACCTGTTAAGTTGTAAGGAGACAGGGCCTTAGTTACTCACCAGAGCAGGGCAACCCTCTTTGATGCACTGCGGTGCTGCCTGTGTGGGAGGGGCTAGAGGGGGAACAGTGCAGCTCGCCTGCTCATCTCTTGCCCACTTTCCAATGAAGTCTCGTGTGAGACTGGGAGTTTCTCCCACCGTGGCAACCATCATAGTCCACAGTCAACCCTTAGTCTCAGTTTTGCCTTCAGCCAGCCCCACGCTCATGGTCTGCCATCTTGCCGCGGTTTTTCTGATCCGGCCCTACCTGCCTCACCGTGGGTTCCTACTGGTCTGTTTGTTCTGGTTGACTTTTTCTTTGATTCCTTGGTTGTTGGAGTTCCATGCAGTTTGATTTTCTGGCACTTCTGGTTATTTATTGATTTTGGATTGGTGGTTATCCTCCTTTTGGTTGTGCAAGGAAACAAAGGGGGTTTCTACCTACACCTTCATCTTGACCAGAATTCCTCAGTGGTAGTGATTCTGATTAACCCCCGCACCACTTTTAATTGTAAAATACTTTTTAACATACATGAAAACTGAACAGAACAATAAACCTCTATCTGTTCATCATTCACTTAATAGTCATGAAGATTTTTCCGCATTTGTATGATATATTCTTTTTCTCCCTTTATTTAAATATTTTAAAGCAAATTTCATGTTATTGGACCTGTGTGTATTTCGGTATACATCTCTAAAAAATACAGACATTCTTCTTACATAACCACAAAGCCATTGTCAAACCTACAAAATTAATAATACTTCCTTGGTATTAACTAATAATAAATTGACAGTCAAATTTTCCCAATTATCAAAAAATAAATTTTTATTGTTGGCTGATTACAATCTGGATCTAAATAAGGTCTTTATATCATACTTGGTTTTTATGTTTGTTTTAGAATAGAGCAGTCTCTTTTCCCTTCCCCAACTTTTTTTTCCATATCATTGTTATATTGCAGAAATTGGGTCTGTGTCCTGTGGAATGTCCCACATTCTAAATTTTATCTGTTTGTTTCTTCTACCTACTTGTGTCATTTAGTGTGTCTTTCTGTTTCCTTATCATTTAAAAAATTCTTTTTAATCCCCATCTGAGGATATGTTTACTGATTTTAGAAAGAGAGGAAGGTGGGGGGAGAGAGAAAAAAACATACATCGATTGGTTGTTTCCCTTATGCGCCCTGACAGGGGATTGAACCCTCAACCTCAGTATGCGCCCTGACCGGCATTCAAACCCAAAACCTTTTGGTGTACGGGATGATGTTCCAACCAACTGAGCCACCTGTCCAGGACTGCCTCCTTATATTTTTTTTAAACGGAATTTTTCTCTGGAGGTTTGATTCATTTTGAGTTCAGCTATTTTGATAATTGGTACTGTATACTTCATATTGCTTCTCACCAGGAGATATATAATATCTGGTTTTCCACTTAGTGATTAATCAGTAGAATAATTTGTGAAGTGTGAACAAAGTTGATACAGTATTTTAAGCTCAAGAACCAGAGATACAGATCTTGTACACGTTAACAGCCTGTATTAAATGTAGGCTGAATGTTCAACACTGGATATTTAAGAATTTATTTTTTTCTTAAGACCTGTTCTTATCTAGCACTTTTGTAAGTACTGTTAAAAAAGACCCTTGTGGGCTGAAGTTATATTTCAGAGAGGAATGCTGATATTTAAGGAGGGACTATTATCTGCTTGCATTGGAGGGGAAAGACCCATACTTAGAGATCATAGTTGTTTGGATCAAATACGGGGTTTGCTTTTTTTTCCACTTAATTTTATACATATGTATGTATGTGTGCATGTATACAGACATGCAAAGAAGAATAGCTATGGACCATAAGTTTAGTTTATGTGAAACCAAAATGGCAAAACCCTCTCTTTCCCTTTCCTGTGCATACATCAGTTTTTTCCCACAGCATTGTCTGACTTAGTTTTTTTTGTTTGTCGTTTTTTAACTAATCTATCCTGTTTACACTTCAGGCTATTGCAGCAAAGGTGGGCATGGACAGTACGACAGTGAATTACTTTGCCTTATTTGAAGTGATCAATCATTCCTTTGGTAAGTGCCAGTGGCTAATATTAAGTTTTGTTGGGAGTATTTTATTCTAATACTGTCAGACTGAAGCTCCCAGAAGCTGTCAGACTGAAACTATTAATATTTGCTTAGAGAAGAAGAGCTTGCAGACCAGGGGGATTCTCATTAGTACAGTCTACAACAGGTAGACCAGGCAAATCCCATTCAGTCCAAGTCTGGTTGTCTGGTCACTGTTGATCCTTTTTCCTCTTTTGCAAGTATAAGTTACTTGTACCTGTGCTGAAGCAGATACTTTCATGAGGTTCTTTTAAATCAGAGGTTCAAAATTAATATATTCCAGTGAAAACAGCCTTTAAAAGAGGGGATGTTCTATTTAGCAACAATTTGTTTTACAATAGTATACTTTATGCTTTTTGTAAGTTTTTAAGAATGGCTTTCTGTTTTCAGGAGTTAGAGATAAATTTCTTGAAAGCCATTGTTTGAATGCATATCTTTAAGTTCTTTGTAAACAGATGTCCTCTTCCTAGGAAATTTTATTGCATCATGACAGGAAGCTTGTCTTGTATATTATTTTATACACGCTAGGCATTTTTGGCCACACTGGTTGCATTGAGACCACAAAGGGGAGGAAGTCTGAGTGCTTGCTCTGAATGACAGATTTCCTGCAGTGTTTATTTCCTACCATTTATGGGTCTTTTCTACATCATATACGTATGTACGTACATGTGGGAGGCTCTGTCCCACAAAGCTCCCCTGGCCGCCACAGATGAGAATAAGTCTGCCAAGACATGATCTGCTTGGGGAGAAAAGGCGACCAGTCTCTCAGAGGGGAAAGCCCTTGAGCCTCTCTCTCAGTGGCCTTTTATTGGGTTTAGTTTGCATAGGAATACAGAGCATATACATAAGGCGCATCAGTCATTGTCAGGCAGTAATGATCAAGGAATAGATAACATTCAAAGAACTATAAGGACTTATTCTGGGTCAGGGTCAATTAGAATGACACCAAAGGGCTATAAAACTTTGGGAAACAAACTCATTTTATGCTTGGATCCTTAACATTTAAATTGAGGGCATTCTTAGCAAAGCAGGTTTCACAGGATTTTATGCATTCTTTCTTAAGCCTGATCACCCTGGGAACTGCCTGTTCCAGCACAGGGCCACACCCGCCTCTGGCATTGTTTTAGGCTTAAGTCAGGGAAGTAAGGCAGCCAGGAGATTAAGAGACCTCTTACAGATAGCATGAGGACTCAGGCTATAACAAAGTGTCGTCACCCCTTCTCTAAAGTCCCCTACGTCCTTCCCTGATGGCCCCTTCAAGACTGTGCCTGTCTTAGGTTGTGCCTCCCTTGAGGAATCTTACCTGTCATTGACTATCCGGCCATCCTCCAGGGGCCAAGCAGGGGAATATGAGAGAGGGGATAAGTTTTTCTTTCCTTAGTGGCTTATGTCGCTAAGGCCTCTTTACTCAGCCTTAGCCATGGGGGCGAATAGCTTCTGAATTCAGGCGGTGGTTCCCAACACACACACACACAGGACTAAGGTCAGAAATGACATCCCCAAAAAGGGAAGAGGCTTGGTCTACTTGGGTTGTCTTGCTGTCCCAGGTCAATGTAGATCAACTTGATTCCCCCCGAAGGAGCCATGTTCCTATTCTCTGTCTTCCGAACTCTGCAGTCTAACTAGGCGGAGAAAAATGTTACAAAGGATTGCTAGGGAACCATGACACGGATTCTAATCTTATCCTTTTCTAAGCTTTAGTTAATAAATAAAATAGGAAATTAAATCTGTCTTTTGTAGTGTTAAAGCCAGTGAACATGAAGAGAAGAAAACTGAGCCTTTCCAAAGAAAAGCAATATAGAAATTAAAAGTGGCTGTGTTTTATTCTGCATTGTTAGAGAGAAGTACTTTTATTCAGAAGATACTTTTCACTTTGATGAATGTCTTAGAGTTGGGGAGTGGGGTGGGGAGAGCTTTTCAACTCTTACCAATAAAAGCAGTTCATTGAGAATTGCCACATGAGAGACTCTGAATGCACCTCTAGCTGAGCAAGAGGAGATGCTTGCTTTAAAAATATTCAGTGGAGCCCTAGCTGGGTGGTTCAGTTGCTGGGAGTGTTGTCCGGTACACCAAAAGGTTGTGGGTTCAATCCCCAGTCTATGGGAAGCAACCAATTAATGTTTCTCTCTTATGTCGATGTCTGTCTGTCTGTTGCTCCCCTGCCCCGCTTTTCCCTTCTCTCTAAAAAGAAAAATCTATAAACATGTCCTTGGGTGAGAATTTTTTTAAAAAAGATGTTCAGTGGACATCACTGTAATTTAACAGGTAATGCATCAGATATTTTAATTAACTTTGTAGTAGGTGCTCTCTGCAGTGTCAGCATGAACCTGAATGGCATGTCATTCAGGTGATAGAGTTCAGTCAGTTTGAGGATGGCTGGCCACAGTCATAGTTAGAAGGGATAGATTTGACTAGACAAATGGTGGTTTTGATCCTAAGGCAGAGCTCCGTGATGGATCTAAACTGATATTCTGGTTAATGATAATCTGTCATTCTTCACCTGCCTGTTTATACTTTATCTGCAGTTTATACTAGGGAAATTCCTTGTATATCTTTTCACTCTAGCTTTCTTTGTTTTATCTTCTCTTTAGTACGTAAGCTGGCACCTAATGAATTTCCTCATAAACTCTACGTCCAGAATTACACATCAGCTGTGCCAGGCACCTGCCTGACCATTCGAAAGTGGCTTTTTACAACAGAAGAAGAAATCCTCTTAAATGACAATGACCTTGCTGTTACCTACTTCTTTCATCAGGTGGGTGAATTTATCCTGGAAAGGCCTGATTTTTTTTTCCTGTTATACGGAGTGGGTAATTTGCCAATTTACTGTGAGTCCTTGGGTAACCTGCTTTGCCTCTTGGATCTTAGCTAAATTTGTAAAATCTCATTTTGCAGCAGATAAATAAGTTTAAGAAGTGAAGAGATCCTAATGATATTTATTTATTTATTTATTTATTTATTTATTGTGACAACAGAAAATGAGCATTGTGGCTGTATACCATGTCAAATATTTTTTTATCAAAATGTAAATGTATAGAGTTTAAGGCATCAAATAGTTCTACACAGGTTATTATGAAAAATGATCTTTGCTCCCACTTAGCTTCATCTCTCAACAAAGACAATTGCTTTTCATCTCTTTTAGCTTTGTTTTTTGTTTTGTTTTTGTTTTGTTTTATATTTACCTCCATGTCTGCTATAACTTGACTATCTTGCTCCTATTTGATTTTTCAGATTCAGGCAGTATCTCTGCATTTCCCACTGAAAGATGGGGCTCTAGCTCCATTTCATCCCCCTTCTCTCTAATACCATATCTTTTTTGTCTCTCCCATCTTCCTAATACAGGCAAATTATGGTATTTGTTAGATCAGTACTCAGTGTTTATATTGTTATGACTCTGTAACTGATGAATGTGTAGCAGAGTCCTGTGTTGTTGGAATGGGAGTCAGAATATCTGGTTCGAGTACAGGCTCTGCATAGGGTATATTCTCAGCATAGCTTTGCTGAGATCTGTTTTCTGATCATGTAAGTGGAATCATACAGTATTTATCTTCTTGTGACTGGCTTATTTTACTTAGCAGAATCTCCTCAAGGCTCATCATGTTACAACAAAAGACTGGATTTCATTCCTTTTTAAAAGCAAAATAATAATATTTCATTATATGTGTCTGTCTCATTTTGTTTACCTAGTCATCTGTGGCTGGACATTGGCTTCTCCCCTACCTCTTGGCTATTATGAATGATGCTATTATGAACATGGTGTGCGTCAATATCTCTTCAAATCCTGCTTTGAATATACCCAGAATTGGGATTGCTGTCATGTAATTCTATTTATAATCTTTGAGGAACTGCCGTGCTGTTTTCCATATGCAGCTGCACTGCTGTACATTCCCAACAGGGCAGGAGGTTCAAGTGATTTTTTTGCTTGATTGGGTAAACAGTTGTGCCATTTGGAAAATAACATTAAAATTTTCTCTTCACTTAATTTTAGTTATTTTTTGTATCATATTTTGATGGTGGGTAATTTGCCAATGTATTTCATCAGTTCCAAGATGCCATTGATAGTAAGATGCACTATTATTTTATGTGCTATTAAGAAAGAGAAAAGAGGTACCAGTTAAACTGACGTACCATTGATTTTAGAAAAGATAAAATATGAAAAAATGTGTACCCTAGAGTTGATGAAATTATTAGATAATAATGATGATAATGAGCCTTTACCTTAAAGAATTCATAAGGTTGAAATTCATAGTAGGAAGTATTTTAAATTCTGGCTAAACCTGGCAGAGTGAATACATATATAGGCTGCTCCTTCTTGAAGGCTTGCTAAATTAATAGTAATAGAATTTCATAGGCATAAACCTACAAAGACAGAACAGGAAAGGAGACAGCAGCTGAGAACTGTCAACAGTTTTTACAAAATGAGTGTCTGCAGAGAGGAGTTTGGTGTTTGGCTACTATGTAAGCGTCAGAGACTCACATGGAAAGTTACACACAAAAACAGGCAGTTAGCATCAGAGAAAAATATATGTATAAGGAGGGAAGTCATAGTACAGTACATGACTTAGTTGTGAACAGTGTTTATGTGCTTACAATAATGTATTGATTACAGTAATAAATACTGAATATTGATGTAATTTTTATTGAGAGGTTGGAGGAAGAGGAAGTGGGAGTGTTTGGTATAAGAAAGCAAGTCAATATTGCCTAAAATTTGTAAGTTTGGAATTAGTCATGTAAGCATGACATTTAGAATTATGGAAGGAACATATAAGCAACTGGTAAAGTGCTTAAGAGTAGTTGCTTCTGTGGAATGAGTCTGTGGTATTGGAGGTTGCTGTTTTTATTAGGAGCCTTTTAGTAATAATTATTATTTTTAAAAATTATGTACATCTGGCCCTGGCTGGTGTAGCTTGGTGGATTGAGTGCAGTTCTGCAAAGCAAAGAGTTGCTGGTTCGATTCCCAGTCAGGTTAATAAATAAAAATTTTTAAAAAGTTATGTACATCTTCCACTTCAGTAAAAACAATTTAAATTAGAAAAAAAGGACTCTAGTATGATGATATTTTTCTTTTACTCAGGATTAGTCAAGCAATATAATCTTGATTAGAAATTGAGAGAAGAGAAGAAAGAATGTTTTTACTGCCCCATGTGAAAATAGTTTACTCAGAGTTGCAGGGGTAGATGTTCACTCAGACCCACTGCTGCCCTGGGGAAATATTCAAATATTTAAGAGCTATTCCAAGTCACACACAGTTCTAGGTATTGGGGCAAGGACAAAACAAATGCAGCATTTTTATTTGGTCATCAAGAGAGCCATTCCCCTTAACGAACAATTTGTTACATGGGAAACAAAACAGATAGACCTGTATTTATTTGTTTGTTTCCCCTTTTTACTTCTGTCCAGCTTTTCAATGATTGGTTTAATTTGAACTGGAGTAGTCAAGTCTTTTGGTGATAAAAACAAAAACAAAAACAAAAACAAAAACAGGGTTCAGGTTCTTTAGGACGTTGTCAGGCTGTTCTTACTGAGCAGCTGCCCCACCGAGTGACTGTACTCCTCTGCGCCCAAGTAAGCCCTCATTCGTATGGCTAGGATTGGGGAGAAATGGGCATAATCTTTCCATTAGGCAGTCCCAGGCAGCATGTTAATATCCATGTGTAGTTCTCAGAAATTAACAGCTAAATGATGGTAATAGCAATAATAGTAACTATTTACCTGTATTTTACTTAACATCCATTATCTCATTTTGTCTACCCATGAGATGAGTATTATTCATGTTTTACAAAGAGGGTTTAAGTGACTTACTCAAGTGTATATTGGTAAGTGACAGACCTAGAAGTTGAACTAGTCTTTCAACTTCAATCCTGAACTCATTCTGTTATATAGCTTTTTTCCCTTAGAAAGAGTGGGGAATAATTTCCACCTTAAGGAAGCTGGCAGTCTTCTTATAAGAGTTCAAGTGGGCCCCTGCCTGGTGCCAGCATAGAGTTAGTTGTCTTTGCAGTAACTCATTGAGGTTAGATTCTGAATGCCCGGGACAAATGATTCTGTGTGTTCTTTTTTCTCCCAGTGATAATTTTCCTTCCATTGATTTTAAATGTTTTCTTGGGGTGGAGTGAACTTGGGAAAGGGATGCATATTTTATTTAGCCGAATCAGCAGTTGTTTAGAATTAGCATATTATATCATATCTAGATACCTTCATGCCTGTTTCAAGTCCTGTTGGGGAGTGTGTGTGTGTGTGTTCATGGTCTCAGATGTATCACTTCTCTTCTAATTGCTGCCCCCCTAGTTTAAGGTCTTGTTTCACTTTATGCTTAAAGTAGGACAACATCGTCAGTCTCTCCTATGCCTCTCTTACTCTCTCCTTAGCTTAATTCATTGACACTCATATGTAAATCAGTCTTTCAAAAAAACTTTTCTTTATGGCTGTTTTAGCTCTCCACTGTCCTTAAGTCTAAATCCTGTACCTGCTTTTAGGATCCTTCTAATCTGTTAACCTGCCCCTCCAGCATTATCTTCCACTGTCCCTTAATATAAACCCTTTATTCACATCAAGCACATCTGTCTCATGAATGCACCTAACTGACTTCAGCTAGTAGTTTCTTCTATTTAACTTATCCTTTGGAGTCCAACCAAGCCTTCCTTGATAACTATAATTAGCAATAAGCTCTCATGTTCTGACTGCATATATCTTATTATCTATACCACACATTTTTGATACTTCATTGTTGCCTGTAATCCAGTATAATATGCTATCTTTTAGTGTTCTCTAATTGTTTCACATGTATAAATTAACCAAAATTTAAATCTCTTACCATGAGAAGCCAGATTGCTCACATGCCTAGAACAATTGTTGAGTACATGCTTAGATGCTGCTTATTCCAATAAATATACCCATGTGGCAGAGTGCACTGGTGATGATGGTGGTCCATCTGGGTAAGAGTTATTCTGAAAATGAATCTGTGTCTCTTTTTATTAAGAATGTACTTGATGATGATTTTTACATTGCTTTCTTCCCTGCCTTTGTTTTGGTGACAGGCTGTTGATGATGTGAAAAAAGGTTACATCAAAGCAGAGGAAAAGTCCTACCAATTACAGAAGCTGTACGAGCAAAGGAAAATGGTCATGGTAGGTTTATGTCCTTATAATCTCCTTATAAAATGTCCTTTCTTACCTCTTAAATCTGTTGTTCTTGTCATTTTTTAAAGATGTTGCAACCTGGTCTGTGGCTTAACTAATTAAAAAAGGCCAGGTGGCTGTTAGTTGGAGCATTGTCCTGTGCACCAAAAGGTTGCAGGTTCCATCCCCAGTGGGGATGCATACCAAAGGGAACAAATTGATGTTTCTCTCTCACATGGATGTTTCTTTTTCTTTCTCTCTCTTTCTCTCCCCCCTTCCTTTCTCTCTCTAAAAATCAATAAACATATCCTTGGGTGAGGATTGAAAAAAAAAATTTTTTTAAAGGAGGGAGAAATAGACCTTGATATAAAGTCCATTGTGTTCTTTTTTTTTAACACACAAAAAGCTTATTTTGCTATATATAGATTATAACTTTATTACTAATAATAACCAAATGGAATTCTTTTTGATAGAAAAAGTTCTAAACAAAGGATGTATAAAGCATTTAATATGAAAAAGATAAGATTCTATAAGAATTGATAGTACGTTTTGTACCTCAGAAATTATTTTAGTTGTGATTCAGCGGTTGTAAAATCATTTGTTTTTTTACAACTTCAACCTGTGCAGTTGCTTAAACATTTATGCTCAGTAGTGCTTTTAGTTAGTATGAAATCCTAGAGCTATACTGTTCAGTTTGATAGTTACTAGCCTTATGTGGCTATTTAAATTTAATTTTAAGTGTATTTAAATTAAATAAAATTTAAAATTCAATCCATCAGATGCATTAGTCACACACATTTCAAGTGTTGGGTAGCTAGTAGCTACTCTATTGGATAGCTCAGATATAGAACATTTTCATTTTCATGGAAAGTTCTTTTGGAGAGGGTGCCTAGAATATTCCTTAAATGTTTTTAAATTAGTTTTCAATTTGTATCGGCTATAAATACAAGGATGGAAATTATCAAAAATAAAATTTGTAATGAATGCTTGCAAAACTTTCACTCATAGAATTGAAAAATTTCTTTCTTGGCAAATTCACATGGAGTTGAAATTTTTCCAATTATAATTTTTTATGATTTCACACAAGGCAGTAATTGTGTTGGTAATGATTCTTATGGATCACTTGAATTTCTTTGTACCTTCTGTGCACTTTTTATGAGGGAATGTTCATCCATTTAAGTTAATTGAGTTGGAATGAGAATATACAAATCAGCAATGAAATTTAGCCCATAATCTCATGTCTGCTGGGATAGTTATTTATCACTTATATGATGAAAAGGTAAACTGCCAAAGATCAGGGAACCATTGCCAAATGTTCTACATACCAATAGGCTGAAGTAGGCAACAAAAAATATTTTAAATAGAATTAAGTCTGTTAATTTGCAAAATTTTGTTTAAAGGAATTTTAATATGTGGGAGACAGGTTTTTTAACTCAACTTGTTGTTTTGTAAGATAATGGCCTTGTCTTTTATGTATTAATGCATGATTCCAACCAACACATCTGCATCTTTTTGGTGAAAAGGGCCTAATATTAAAGGTTATCAACCTGTGCAGTAGTTCTTTGCCTTTTCCAAAGCCAACAGAGTCAAAGTAATTTCATAATGGCCTCTGATAATACAATACCAGTATAAAATACATAATTGGTTTTTTTACACATGTAGTATTACTCTAAACACACTATCTTCTATTTATGCATTTAACCAAAAATATATGTTGAGCACCAAATGTGTGCCAGGCACCACGCTAGGTGCTAGATAAAGGAGTAGGTTGTTCTGTAGCAAAATAGAAAAATCTGAATTTAACAAGCATGGTAATCTATTACAAAATCATTTTCAAATTCAAGTTTGTATCTTGGAATCACCCAGTTAAGAACTTGATTGCATTTGGCACATTGATGTGTTTTCCCATGGGTCACTGGAATTGAGTATAAAATATGCTTAAATATTTATGGAATTTTATTTTCTTGAAACCCTACTGCCAATATACAAGTATGTACTAGCCCCATAATTTTAAAATCTGATTTTTAAAAAGAAATCTCACCAGAGTTTGAATTTTATTCAAGTATAATTTCATGTATTCAAGTATTAGTGTTCAAAGACATTAGCTTAGTCAATTGTCATGGTCAGTACATTGAAACTTGCAACTGAAATGGTCCTTCCAGAGCCTGTAGGTCTTGATACCATTCTCTACAGCAACTTAGTGTGCTAGATACGTCTAAGATTAGGTCAAGCCATTAGAGGACTCCAACAATCCAACAAACTTCTGAGTTCCAGTTTTTGTTCTATAAAATGGACTGTTCAGGTTGCCAGCTATCAAGTAGAATCTTAAGAAAATACTTCAGAGTTCTTGGTAGATAAGTAAGTTCTGTCTAAGTGTCCTTATTCTCCAAATACAGAGGGCAGCTCATATCTTTGCCATAATTTGTAAGATCTAGTATGATCAAATGTTTTTGTTTCAGAGTTAGATCAAGTGTCAAATTTAGATGATTGAGAATGAAACATACAAGAGAGATTTTGCATTTCTTTTTTTTTTACTCACACAAACAGCACCCATTTGGAACTTAAGTTTTTCTTATGTTGGAGTAGCCTGATTTCACAACTGTTAAACTGACAAATAAGAAATTTCTGGCCCTGGCTGGTGTGGCTCAGTGGACTGAGCTCCAGCTGTGAACCTAAAGGTTGCCAGTTCAATTCCTGGTCAGGGCGACATGCCTAGGTTGCGGGCCATGTGCCCAGTTGGGGGCATGGGAGAGGCAACTGATCTGTTCCTTTCATACGCTGATGTTTCTCTACCTCTTTCTTCCTCCCTTCCCCTTCTCTAAAAATAAAACAAAATTAAAAAAAATTTTCTGTTCGTGTTTCAACATAATTTTTAGTGATTTCACACAAGGCAGTAAATGTGAAAGTTGGTATTTCTTAAAGTGTGGTCTCAGATCAATTTTATGGGAATCACTTGTAAAGCTGCTCACAATGCAGATGTCTGTACCCATCTCACATTAACTAAGTCAGAATCCCTGTGGGTAGGATCTAGGGTTTTTGTTTATGTGTTTGTTTTAAATTTTTAGAGAAGGGAAGGGATGGAGAAAGAGAGGGAGAGAGACATCTTTGTGTGGTTGCCTCTCACACACTCCTTACTGGGGACCTGGCCCTCAACCCTTTGGTTTGAAGGCAGACACTCAATCCACTGAGTCATACCAGCCAGAGCAGGATCTAGAAGTTTTTGTAAAGATTTGTACAGAAGCACCCTGGTGATTCTGAAATTTAAGTTGCTTCAGAATCACTACTCTAGGGTTTTGAGAGAGTTGGCTCCCAAGGTTCCTCTCAAGTCCTTATTTCAATATCACACCTGGTTTGACCATTGGCAGGTTGTTCGGGAGAGCAGAGCTCTCCATAGTGGACCTCAACATACTCACCCAAATGTTCTGCTCTGTGAAGTCCTGAGTCTCTCCTTTCATGTGTCCTATTTCTGTATTTACCTGCCTTGTTAAATATTGAATATTCACAAAATGTCCCATGCTGTACCTTTCCTTTTTTCTGGCCTAATGTGGGCCATCATCTGAGTGGTATGTGAATCAAGGAAGTTAATTTAGGGTCCCTATTTAACTACTCAAAATTTAATATGAAAGGAGAATGGACAGGATAATTTTGTGTTTTAAATTTAGCTATACTCTTATGCAAATCTGTTTGAAAACAAAAACTCACTTTTCTTTTAGAAATTTGAGTTTTCTTTTAGAAACATATAAAACTCACTTTTCTTTTAGAAACATATAAAACTTTAAATGTTTCTTCTCTTCATGCTTTGTGCAAGTCCAGGAATGTAGGGATTGCCCACTTAAAGCTGAGAAATACTACCTGACCCGAGTATCTTGAAAACCTTGTCTCCAGCCCTGGCTGGAGTAGCTCAGTGGATTGAGCATGGGCTGCGAACCAAAGTGTCACAGGTTCTATTCCCAGTTAGGGTACATGCCTGGGTTGCCAGCCATGACCCCCAGCAACCGCACATTGATGTTTCTCTCTCTCTCTCTCTCTCTCTCTCTCTCTCTCTCTCCTCCCTTCCCTCTCTAAAAATAAATAATTAAAATCTTAAAAAGAAAAAGAAAAAAAAACCTTGTCTCCCCAGTGAAGCTTTACCTCTGTTGCCTCACCAAAGCCACAGGCGCCCTTAGTTTCCACTCAGGTTATTTTTAGAACTATGCCATTAGGAAGTCCCCTGAAGGTTTTTTACTTTCAAGGACTACGTTCCTGAATATGGAGGGTTAAGTCAGCTTTTTCATTTGAAGGGGATAGAGGGAGGGACACATTTGTGTCTGGTACTGCTCTGGACATGATGTGTAGATTCTCATTTCCTCCTTATAACAACCATGCAGGTGTTATCCTTGCTTTGCAGAGGAGGGGTAGAGTCTGCAAGAGGAAGATTCTTACCCAAGATCACAAAGCCTGTCAGAACTAGGATTTGAACCCATTTTGTCTGGCTCCAAAACATATGTTTTTTCCTACATCAGAGAAGGGAGGGTGACAGCAGTGTCTTTTATTTCTAGATGGCAGAGGGGAAGACCCTGGGTAGAAGTCACAAAGAGAGAGTTCAAGATACACAGAGCTCCCGTTTCTTCTTTTAAAAAAATTATATTTTATTGATGATGCTATTACAGCTTTCCTGATTTTTCCGGCTTTGCCCCCCTCCACTCAGAACCCCCATCTTCCCTTCATCAAGCAATACCCCCACCATTGTTCATGTCCATGGCTCATACATATAAGTTCTTTGGCTACTCATTTTCCTATACTGTACTTTACATCCCCATGGCTACTCTGTAACTGCCTATTTGTACTTCTTAATCCCCTCACCTCTTCACCCATTCCCCCATACCCCTCTCCCATCTGGTAACCTTCAAAACACTCTCTGTACCCATGATTCTCTGTTCTTCTTGTTGGTTTAGTTTATTTTTTAGATTCATTTGTTGGTAGATATGTATTTATTGGCATTTTATTGTTCATAGTTTTGGTCTTCTTTT